TCTGTTTAGCACTGAAAATGGTGGCTTTGTAAATCGACCAGAAGTCATCTACAGCTATTACTTGGCGTGCGGAACATTTCATGTGGATATCATTCCAGATTTCTTTCAGCATCCGATGCGAGCGAACCTCCTATAAGTTATATTTCCACATCACCATCAGCGCGCGGAGATGTTTGCAGTTCAGCGATCAGATGAAAATGAGCTTCAGGGAAAATTTCTCCCGGCATGCTTTGCGAGTCGTGTCCAATGCCGCCTGAAATTAAACTTAAAGAACAATTTTGCATAAACGGTGAAAGGTCAGCTTTTATTACTCCTGTTGGGCTAAAAATAGACTTAAGGAGATACAATTTGCGTAGGTTGAACAACAGTCGAAGAAAAGCTGTTCATAACGAACAGAAAGACCTAACTAAAAACTTCGATCACAAACTTGTCAGATAAAAAAGCCCGACAATCGCTTAATTGTGAGCTACAGGAAGTTTTGACTGCCGGAAAATTATGCTCACATGATCACCGCTCTTTTTAGAACAGTGATTCAGTTTCTAACGGGAAGTCGTATTTCTAGAAACTGTAACACAATTGAAGAGTAAAATTTTAAAAATAACTCGAAATTCTTCTCTATGCTTTACATTACTAAAAGGCAGTAAGTGTTAGCTGAGATTTCGAGTATTTTCCACTATTCACAAGTATTTCGCTTCTATCTGCTGAACACTGTCGCCAGAAAGTCTGGCAATTTAGAAAACCCAGAGGCAATTTCACTTTTAATTGCTCGCTATTCCTCGCTTTCAAAAGGTTTCTGACAGTTTACAAATAAGAACCATTTCGTAAGTTCAATTTAAAGAATATCGAATAAGTCGAGAGAGACGAAAGCACAAACAGTCTAATTTTTCGATGTAATTAATTGGCTAAGTTCGTCATTTTAAAAATGTTCTTTCAAATGTAGGCTAATTTCTTTATAGTTTCGAGCTACTAAAAAGCGAAATTGGGACCTGGCGATGACGTAAGCATAAGGAAAAACAGCCCGATCAAATAAGTTCTTCCTCAAATAGCAAAACTTCAAGAAATAACCGTGACAGAAACGGCCTCCAAAACACCTTGCTTTTTATCAATAATGTAAATGTGTGGCAGAAAAGGAAATTTTAATACGGGCGAGCCGAAAATTTGCATAAGTTCTAGACAGTTTTCAATTAAAACGCGGCTCCGTTTGCATAGGACAGCTTACAGCGATTGGCTCGTCTTGAGGCCAGTTGTTTAAATATTAATGCGTTTTGTGTCGGTTGTTCTCATAACTATTGTTTCACTTCTTTGTCCATCTGATTCATTGTGAATCAGCTGTCACCAACAGACGCGATGGGGTGTGGAGAATATTTACTTTGATATTAAAATATACTTTGCCGGGCGCTGGTGTTTCTTCGCCTCGTTCACCGTGCAGGTGTCGAAAAACATATTTTCAATGCCTTAATATCACTCGGTTGTAACCTGGGATCGCTCGAGAGCTAATTGGACTCTCGAGCACTGGAAAATTTAATTTAATTGTGGCGAGACGCCACGCGTTATTGTGTACATTTCAACGGTCAAATATCTACAAAAATTTACCTTCGGACCTTTCCGTCAAATATCCCGAAAACCAAGATCGCGAAATACTTCTCGTCAGTATGTCTCGCCTTGGCCTAAAAGAATGAGTTCCGAGGGATGTAGCGCTTTGAAACCTTCGCGTGCAGTGAAATATTCATTCTGAGACAAACCGCCATTTAATATGTTCACGACAATACAACTTTTGTTTCAGTTGGATTAATATTTTGTCTTTTGTGTTGAATTCTGTTCACCTTGACCCGACTAACAAATCTCAAACAGTTATCGTAAACAAAATTTAGAACAAACTGACGTTCATTACTCCTTCATTGCAATCAAAAAGGTATTAAAACAAGAAAAGAATATTTGGAAACAAAGCTTTGCAAGTGCCTACAAGTGACACCTCCACAAAATAATTGCCTCCGATTTACATTGCCCTTGATATTAACGAATTCTTTGTTTTTGAACTTAATGCAAAGTGCCCCCCACTATATGGACGTCGCATTGGCTATAAGTATGCAGTATAGCCCGCCTTTTGAGCGTATCTCGTAGTTGCTTCACAGTTTTCTTACGCTTTACAGAAGGAAGTACACGTGTTTATCTTTGCCTCTTTAAATCAGTAATGGTTGCCACAGACAACACTTTTCAAAATTCCCCGAATCTTCGCTGATTAAAAAAAAAAAACATTTCCCTGGCCAAATAAATAGACAATGTCAGATCTAGTAGCGGCTTGTAGTCTCCATTTACACTCGCCCTTTCCGCCCATTCATTATAACTGATACGTCTTCAACAAATTTTCCTTCCTCATAAGGAAAAATATCGTTGAGTTCACAGTGACTCCAATGTTTCTCCTAACCTTCAATGTTATTATACTCAGCCGAGTTAAATTATTTCAACCTCCTCTGACATGACTTCAAAATTTCGATTTTCCTTGAATCAAAATAAAATTCCCTGACTTTTCCCTGACCCTTGAAGGATTTTTTTCTCCGAGCATTTCCTGACAACCGTGTCAGTAAATTTTTAAAGTGGCTATGCAGCTATACGCTGTCTGTAAATATGAAAATTAGTGAAAGCGTGCCTATCCACCTGGCAACCGTTGTCAGGAACACTTTTAAACTGTTCAAGCATTCTGTAGGATAAGCCAAACTCTTTTGCATCGTATTATAGTGATCTGCTTTACGCACCTATACTGCCATTTGCATGCCTATCATTCCACAAGCTCTCTGGATTTCAATTCTCACAAGGCTCGTACTCTTTATCGGACTAAAAATGCAAGGATTTTTCAAGGACATTCCAGGAAACAATAGTCCAATTTTTAAAGGACTCCATCGATCGAAGGTTCAAGGTTAGGGAAACCTGTCTATCTTATTTTACTTCTTCCACTACGAGGGCAATTCTTTCTTTAAGTTCTTTGGCAGCTTGTTCTTTTTCCGTCTAATTTCAAGGTTTTTTCAAGGACCTAATGTACCTCATACGACTTTTCAGGTCTTGAATTTTCATTTTCAAATTCAAGGAGTTTCAAGGTGCGTGCGAACCATGAAGTCAATATTGCTCAAAATGCCTTGGTGTGTCTTTTGCTTTATTTATTGACATATTGCGTTATTGGTTGCCTGGTTCCTTTAGTTCCTACAAATATTCGAGGTGTCCATGCTCTAATTTAATAATTTAAGTTCTTTTGCCCTTCAAACGTAAACTATTTTCAACAGTACAGTTTGTTTTGTGGTTGCTGTCTGCGGCTTATCGAGACAAATTGACTTTGAAAGTTACACGAACCTTTTTCGTGCAACGGTTAGCTTGCTGTTAAGAAAACGCCGCGCGCCATTTTAAGGTTTACCACACTTAATAATTTCTTATGCGACTTCTGCCTCGTAATGAAGTCTCCAGATCAGAAAAATTTCCCCTATCACGTGATCACCTGTAAATTTCCCAGCCACCGACGAGGGGGAGGGGGGCGCGGGGGTGTTAGTGAGTGTACAGCACACCACCATATCTTTTTCCCGCGTTTTTATGGTAACCTGGCAACTGCTAAGGTAGTGGGCTCGTAACCGATCACGGCGAAGATTTTGCCTTCTCAGCTATTGACCAACAAAGACGAGCCAATAATGATATAAAATCATATTGAATAAGAAAAACCTCATTTGTATCAAGTTTCAACGCACATTTACATAATACATACGACTAGAAAACTAGTTTCGTCTTCGACGCCATCGGTTGACCTTTGTGAATTTTCCTGCACCTTAACTATATGCGTATGAAACCCATGCAAAACTCGCGCAATCTGTTCTAGCCAATCACAATGAAGATTTTGCCTGTTTAGCCAATCAGCTGCAAAAGACGGACAGCCGTCATTTGGATTCCGCTGTTTTTCCCGCGCTTCGTCACTAAAGTTAGCCCGTGGGACAAACTTAAACTGTGGAATAATCTTATGCGACGCAAGGAATCGAAAATGCGATTAAAAAATTAAAACAAACAAAAAACCAAACAAACAGGGACTTACCCTTTGTCCAAGCTGACACGAGCTTCCGAAATCCACGATCTTGATAGCGCTTCTCTTTGGATTACACAATAAAATGTTTTCTGGCTTCAAATCACAATGGATTATATTGAGTTCCGGTGTGGATAGGTACAGCAAAGCCGTGCACATTTGTTGAGCAAATTTCCTGGTCAGATTCAGTGAAACTCCTCTAAAGTTCGTGTTTCGAAGCAAGTCGTACAAGTTGTACGATAAAAGTTCAAAGACTAAACACAAATGATTCCTGTACATGAAGTGTCTCTTGAGTCGCACTGTTGAGAGAACGCAACAAAGAAAGACATGTCAAGAGCCGGATAGGAAGTTTTTTCGTCCTTTGTTATCTAGTTTCGTCTCAAAATGTTAACGGGAAGAAACTGCGAACACGAAAGTGTTTATGGTTCTGGCAGAAATTCAGAAATCGCAATCTTATGGATTAAGACTTCAATCCATGAAAAGAGCGTTTAAAAGACATCGAAGAGTTGAGGAATCCCAGTTTGGACGAGAGCTGGCATCTGCCTGTCAAACAAATGAACGGGTTGAAATTCTACATCAGCACACGAACTCCCAGCTTTGTAATTCAGATTTGACTTTTCAACGAAATTCGCGTCCATACTGAAGAAAATCCACTTCAAATCATTTCCTAATGCATCCATCCCTGTTGGTTGCCAAGCACTGAGGGCCTCCCAGGGGTTTTGTGGAACAAGGAATCATGATCACTTATTTCCAGGTAGCAAGTGGTATTTTAGGGATTAGTGTGAGGGAACAAGGGATATTCCTACTATTAAGGTGAACTTTGACCAAAAAATTAAGGGAACAATGGAATTTATTAATGGAAACAAGGGAGAAAAAGTGAAGTTTCCAAGGGATCAAGGGAACACCCCCCGCCCCCGGGAGGTCCTCACCACTTGACAATCAACAGAAATCGATGCAAAAGGAAGTGATTTGAAGACACTGAGTCTGTTACTATCTACATGTAAGTTAGGCCCAAGTCAAACATCAAACTTCACATGAGACAAACTAAACTGAGCGAATTAAGTTCATGATAAGTTCAAGGTTTGACTCAGCTGAGTTCGTCCGACTGAATTTAGATCGACCAACACTTTTTACCCGCATGCTTCACACGGATAGAAAATTCGAATTAAGTTCGACGTTTGACCCAACGGTCGAGCTTTACCCGTTTAGACCGAATCAAATTGCAATTTAGCTCGTCTCATGTGGAGTTCGACGTTTGACCTGGGACTGTAAGTATGGAGCAGTGAATTCTTACCGATGTAGTATTTTCCCTCTGGGTCATGCGTGTTCATAAGCTCCAGCAAGCGAACTTCAATCTGTGCTTGGTTCAAGAACGGCTTTTTGTTTTTGATGATTTTTATGGCGATGTATTCTTTTTCTTGATGATCGTAAGCTTTGCAAACCTAGAAAAAAAAAAACAAATTTCAAGTTAACAGATTCGTGTTTTCACTACAACTATTAAACATCTGTTGTAAGGGACCTTCCAAAAAAAGGACACTACATTGCAAAAAATTTCTCCGATTACGCGCTCCGATTACGCGCGCAAGCAGTATTTGATGCTGCAAAATTTTGTCTCCGAGAAGTAAAAATGTCTCTGAATTTGTCTTCAGAACCAACATTAGGAAACGATGTTTCACATTAGTGCTTCTTCTTTCCCAACAAATGTCGAGAAAAATGCGTGGTGAGTACTGGCTTACTGAGTAGTGAGTACTGAATAAGAAACATATCAAAACCATTTGTATGCGCGACTTTAATTACATTTTTCTTGAGGAGCGGTTTTGGAATTCTGCAACCCAGTTTAATTTTCTTTGGTTTCACATTACCATAATAAAAATTTGTCGAAGGAAAGAAATAGATATCAAACAAAATTTCAAACTAAAAGAAATTTAAGCTACAATATATACACGAGCAAAGGAGTCGACCGTTCTCTTCAAAATCAAAACATTTTACAGTTCGCGCCATAAGCGGTGAGCTAAATTTCATTTGTCCACAAACGTGACAGAAAAATTTTCCAAAACAAATAAGAAAACTAGAATTTACGGATAACTCGCGTAAGTAGAGTTAAGTTGAGGGCAATTTTACTTCCTTTTTTCTACCAAAAATTTAACGGCTAATAAACGATATGAATCTTTATCACTGTATTTTGAAAAAATAATTGCTTATTTAACATTTGAAGAAATTAGTTCTCTCAACTTCACATCTAACTGTGACTTTTTTTAATTTTTCGCATGCCGTTTCCACGAAACATAGCGATAAATTACCCCGCTTAGTTATCTCATGCGCATAACTCGTCTAAGATCACTAAAACTGCTTTCAATTTCTATCTGTTTGAAAAGACGCAACAAACACATTTATGTAAAATTTTAGACGATCCATTCGTCTAAGTAAACTTTACTCATTTGTTTTTTCCTCTTAAGTGACGGAAAAGCAGACAATATTATCTGACGAGCAAAATCGTAATCGGCCTGTGTTCACATTTTGGATGAGTTTTTTCTAGTAAGAAAATGACCAATTTAGAATGAAATTAGTTTTCACAGTTTAAAAACCGGACTGGCCGAACTTTTTGAGTATGCAGAGAAACGACAATTTGGGCTGAAAGAAACGAAAGGCCACACCAACAATTCACTACATTGAATTTCCTTCTGTTGACAGTTATTTAGATTGTTTGAGGCAAATTAATCTGGTTTGAAAAATAGAAAAAAAAAAAACGTTTCAAAGATGGCAAAACCAACATGCACATTCATGGACCAAACTTTTGTAAGCTGTGGCTAAAATATTTTTCAGACTCGCTGAAACAACGAGTCAGAAATTTTTAAAAAATATAAAAATTAGTAAGTGTCTTGGTATCAGGATTTAAACACTGGAAAACCAAAATCGCAAGAAACAGATTTAAAGAAATATTAAATTTTTCAGTACATGCAACATCAATCCAAGTGTAAAACAGATTTTGTGTTTGGTTAAAAATTTGGACTCAAATAATTTATATCCAACTGACCAAATTCAACAAAAGCACTGATAATTTAGGGAGATAATAATGTAATTCAAAAAAGTTAAACCACCAAACCATAAATAACATTTCAACACAAAACATAAAATTAGCCACATTGCATGTCAAGTGTTATCCTAACTTGTGGCTCTAACCTATGCTAAAAAAGTAAAAAACCTTAAAATATGGATAAAATGACTGAAACACAAAGCAATAATGGTCTTACTTCAGCTAGAAGTTATAAAAGTGGACATCAACACAACACTTTTAGATAGTTCCTTGAATATTTTAACAAATTCTGCTCTCATTGCTTTCAAATCTGCAGGGAAAACCCCACAGCTTTGCAAATTTGCATAACATGAATATCATGCAGCATACAATGAATTTTAATTTAGCAATATTTTATTGTAAAAGCATGAAATTTGACAGTATATCAATAGGTAATTAACAGGACTATAAAATTAATCATTTTTAATATACTTTGTGCCACTTGCAACAAGAAGTAAGCGATTATTTCACGTTTAAGCCCCCTCTCTGATCAAGAAGCAATTTCTCATAGCCATACAAATCAATCTACTGTAAATATTCTAGTACAAAATATTAACAAAAAATACTCAAATATATTAAAATAAATATCCGCGCGTCAATTATGTTGAATTCGGCAAAAACAAACACTCAAAGCCTTTGTGCAAGGAAAAAATGTTATTATGTAATTTGTTCCAACAATTTTTGTAACTAAAAGTAGATATTTATACCTGACCGAAGGATCCCTTGCCTATTAATGACTCGATCTCGTAACGATCAAACCACTTTTCCCCTGTTTTGATGACATAGTCAAAATTCTCGTCGTCATATCCATCGTTGTACAATCGCCGCTCTTTTTTGTGCCCTCCTTCTTCGTTTTTCTCCAGCTCCTTTCGTTTCTTTTTCTTAGCGTAGTACACCTACAAATAAACATTAAGCATTAGTCAATAAATAATACAAATTATTTTGAAGAATTGTTTTGTTTTTCTGTGCAGTCCTAAAGTCACTAAAGATAAAAGTTCAGGTTAACATTCAAGCAACTGTCAGATTATTGTTATTATTATTATTATTTTTATTTTTTTTGGATAAACCCAATATCTATAAAAAGTAAACAGTAAATCAAAGTAACTAATGCAAAGCAATATTTATTAACTGCTATCCAAGATTTATCCCTATGTAATAAATTGAAATTTTGCAGACTTTGTAATCAAAATTTACATATAAGGCTACTAAAACCAGCACATAGAAACTATTTCAAAGACATACAACAAAAATTGAATTGGAACCTCTTTCTCCTCTTGTGTTTTGTCAATAGAAAATTCCCTTAATTTTATTGACACAAAGAAAAAAACCTCTTCTTTATCTATGCTTAAAAAAGCCTTACACTAAGATTGGCAAAAATGAGAAAATTATTAAGAAAAAACATTATTCATGGTTGAGTCACAACGAACTTCCTTGTTGATATCAATATCCCAGGGATAGAATATCATGTTTTGGGTCTGTAAGTTGCTCATTATTTAGTTTCAATTGCATGATCCTCTGGGATGTACGGAAGGAAAAAAAGGCTGGTTAAATAACCAAGCCAGCTTTTATGGCCTACAATGGCCTAGATGCACCATCAAAAGTACCCAGTTCATTGTTTACTGGTAAAATTTCACCTGGAGATATGATTTCTTTTAGATGATGAAGTTACATTGTAACCTGAGGCCAGCTCTTAATGTTCATCTACTTGTGTACCTACTGCCCTATATCCCGTTTGAACTAAGCAGGATGATATCACTTCCTGTTGATGTGTTACAGCTGTGAACAATGTATTTTGTTTAACAACAGCACAGCACTGCATAAGATCAAATCAGACATGTTTAAAACAGGAAACAGCAAAATGATGAAATGGCAAGATGGGTAAGAGTCAATGTGGGATACAGGTTTCTGTAAGGGTTGACCCTTAGTTATGAGAGCTAAGCACTCTCGAGTCAGTGATATTTAGGCTAACCCAAGTGTAAATGTAGTGCCATTTTGTGCTTTAAGCACCCCTAGTTTTAGGTCTACCTCGTTAATGTGCTTGTAGGTTTTGATCAAGTCCACACTGAGTTTTCTAAGGGGTGCAGAGCTTGGGTCGCGGAATGTTGTCGGGATCTTGCTGTAGAAGTTTTGAACTCCAGCGAAATCCACCTCATCTGCCTGATGGTCTTCTGTTTTTCCAGCAATGTAATTCATGTCAGAAGCTAATAACTTGGACACTGATGCCTGATCTCCATTGCTGCCTTTCAAATGAAAACAACAAATGTGCATGATGATGTAACCTAAGTTATTGGTACAAAATCTTACCTCTTGCACAAATTGCATCACATGTTAAAGCTCTACAAACTGTACCATTGCCACTTGAGAAAGTTTTGACTATTTTTTGACAACTTTTGCAAGCTTTTATTCGAATGAACCAAACAAAACATGTAAACTGCTGAGTCTGGATATGTTAAATTGATGTCAAATTCACCAGTCACTCTTCTGGGAATTTCAAAAGTCTCATCCTGTGAACATTTGAAACCAGTGAAAAATTGTTGCAGTTTGATCAGCCATCTTACTTAGAATAATCAGAAGTTGTCAAAAAGGTGTCAAGAACTAATCAAAACTTTCCTAGGTGGCAATGGTAAGGCACACAGCACTGTAAATGAGCAAAACTTGAAGCAATTTATATAACTGGCCAACTTAACATTTATAAACACTACTCTGCTATTACAATTAAATTCCCTGCAGGGGACACTTCATGAAAGTAAACAAAAGAACTCACCTCTGTCAGAAGTTGCACCCCCTAATGAAATGTCCATCACCTATTGCTTGACATCCTTGCTGCAAAAAAAGAAAAAGAAACCTTGAACTGCATCCATGTGATTCTACAAACACATTAGCTAACATATAAATAGAAAATAACATCTACCAGTGGTGCTTCTATTCAAGAGAATGTTTGCTGAAATTACCTAAACTTTAGTTATTCACACCTCATTAGTTTCAGTCTGTAGTTTTCATGTAACGAAATGTTGTATTTGCATCAACTGAAGGTCTTTCAGTCATTGTCCACACAAGTGCTAAAGAAATGATAATCACGTGATCAATTTTTTTAAAAATGTCCTGGTGCATGAAGAGGGCATAATTTTAGACACAAGTCTGATTGTGGCATTTTGTATTAAAGAAACAGAGCATCTCTACAAAGCTGACACAAAAACAAGGGGAAATTTGGGAGAAACTGAATGTAAAGCCACAGCACAGGGGTTACATCATAATTATGTACTTTTGAAAATTCGCAAACTTTCTCTTGTGTTAGCATCAAGCTATGTTAACAGGACATGGGTGCCATATGCGAGTCATAACCATACACGAATGTTGACGTGGCATCATGCCAATCAGATTGCACATTATATCAAAAACTGTTATATTTCATTCAGTGCAAGATCAGTCAACGAGGGAATCAGAAATATTGAAAACATGATCACACTTTCCTGAGTCATACACAGGAACTATTGATGCATGAAGACTAGAGGGCATAATTTTGTAGGCCAAAATTTCAATATACAACTTGTTTCATTTGGTAACAATGGATGCTCCCATTGATTTTCAACAGGTGAATTAAATTGGGAACTGGTCCTTGAAACACAAAAGAAAGAGCACTTGTGTTGTCAAATGAACATCTTAACTAAATTAACAAAGCGTAGCAAAAATGTTTTCCTTGGGATGGGGTGGGAGTGGGGGAAGGGGGGGTGGGGAAGAGATGTTAACCTTAACACCCATTTGAGTTGCGCACTAATGAAGTGCATATGGAGAGTTTTTAATTTGACACCACATTGCTCCCAGGCAAATATAGGAAATACAAGTATTAGAGAATAAGAGGGGAGAATTTTAAACTTGATCTAATGACAGAAACATTCTTAATATGCAAGTCTCATTTCAAAGGCCAAAAAATAAAAAAAATAAAATAACTTGTTCAAAAACAGTAGTATCTGGGAAGAGAGGCTTGCATCACCTTCTTCACCTCAAAAGCATGTACACCTATCACAAATAAAGTACAAAACCAATGTTGTTTTCCGATTAGAAGCACAACAAGTAAATATTGGTATTTACCACACTTTGATGACAGAACATCATCACAGTCACACTTTGGTTAAAAAAGGTGCACAAAAGATGTACTTGAGGAATAAACTTGGCCTCAATTTTTTCTGCAAGTAATAACTTACTACTGAGTTTAATTCAAAGCCCTTATTGCATGCAGCCCATATGCAACAAAAAAAGTGTTATATTTGCAATCAAAATGACAGATTTTTAGGATTAAAAAGAAAATTCAACCAGCTACACAAATGAATAATAGAAGTCTTTTGAAAATCAGTATTTAGTAGAATGTTATACAATTATAAAAGTTCATTGTAAAAAAAAGTCATCTGCATCTAAGAGTGTTACTATGAATATATCACATGCAATGCAAGATCTATGGAAATCAATTCAAAGGATAAAGGAATACATTTTACAAGATATTGAAGCAAAGAAGTTTTCATCTTCCATGACACACCTTAAGTGAAAAGGATTACTATGACATAAATTTTAATGTCGCAACCATGAATGAAATGTTAAACATTCATGAAAAACTACCTCTTATATGCTGAAGAGGAGACTCCCATGATGAAGTTTCTGTGGAATAGAGTTCTTTCAGTTGCTGCAATAAGAGTTTGTTCCCTTATAGACTTTTTCAGCTGCACCTCTGGAGGGCAGCTACACGACTTTATGCACACACGACCTTTCAGGATATCAACCACAAGAATTACTACTGTTTAATAGTGATGAAATTTTAACTTCTCTGTGGTATTTACACAGTCATGAAACTGTTGAACTTGCTGCAGATTAAGGAAAAGCACATCTAAAAACACATCAACAATGTTTGATTGAAATTGGGAAAACCTACGACACATTTTTGATGAAAATTTCAGGGAAAAGAACCTTATTTCACAAGTGTGCATCAGTTTAAGCCATTGTTGTGCTGTGACCAACAAGTGACTGAGAAATATTAATTATAAATCAAGATTTTTTAACCAATGGCTGTTAATTTACTTCAAACAAAATTAATACACACATAACTACTAATTGCATTGCTCCAGAATCTGCAGTTTTCTTTTTCCTTTTGGTAAAAAAGCTACAAGTCATTTGCAAGCTATTTCTTTTAATCAAAATGGCAACAAGTGGTTTTAAATTCGGCATCTAGTGTCATCACAAAACGTGTTACATGACATTTTGTTCAAGAGAAATTTTGGACCTTGATGAAAAAACTGCTGTTCTTCATAAATAATCAACTAAGATGTATAAAATCTCTTTTACCTGCTGTCGAGACTGCCAAAAGGGAACAAAAGCAATAAAAAATGACAATGAAATGGGTCTTAATAAAAAGATGCAAATGTGAATGTTCTGCTTATTACTACTGTTTGCCCTTCAAGATCCAATCAGACCATCTTTCATTCAATAATTGTAACAATCAGCACATGTTCAAGAATGCACCTACTTATTCAACACACAAGCTAGCTGTATTTTACAAATTAAAGCAAGTCACATTTGAATAGGCAGTTTCTAACCTCTCAGTTGAGAAAAGAAGGCTTCAAAAAGGAACAAGAAATCTTGCCTCAGTTACCAGCAGAAATACGCATCATTGACTCTTCTTATGATCCTTTAAATGGCAAAAATTATGCAAAGCATGATAACCAACCAGCCACAAAGTAGTAAACATTGTTTTTGGATGACCATGTTTTTATTTCACTAGTCATGTTGGCTACTTCATCAAGAAGTGGTGCAAAACATTTGAAATGTACAGATACTGTCACTACAATTCAAAATTTTCAACCTCTCCTTTCTGCTACGGACACACATAACTAAAAACTGTATAATATCTGATTTTTGAGGAATGTGCCTCCACTTTCTTTCAATGTTTTCAATTCCATTATTTGTTTGGTTTGCCAGCACATTTAGTGACGAAGTACAAAACAAGAAATAAACTGAAAAAAATGAAATCTGCTGATAGAAAAAGTGACAAGAAAGTTAACAATAAATCATGAGGTTTAGATCATATAATCAAGCTTCCTTTATGGAATATATTTACAGATTTTCAGTTCTAAAATTTTGTGAGGGGTGCAATCTTCCAGAGAAAACTACTGTCAGCTGTTAAAAGGGAGGATCTACCAGATGGCTACTGGGTATTCATAGGGTGGATAATTTTCTCCGCCAGACAAATAACTACCAGTAGATAACAATTATGGTCAACAAAATCAATTGCACAACCCACAGGAAAGTGATTTAACCATGTGATTTCAATACGTACCCTTTAAAAAATCAAGTCCTAAAGATCAGTGTTTGACAAAAATAGAGCACTAATGAAATCAGAAATAGACACTGTAGTGTTGTGCTAACTCCACACGCAAAGAAAGTGTAAGGAGCCAATCATATATTAGGAATTGTTTCGGTAGTTATATATAATAAACAAGGCATAATGTATGCCTGTTGTGTTAAACCAACATGTAACAGTCAATTCGAGTGCATTAAAGTACAGGTTTGATATTTTTTCACAGCGACTCTAAAGACACAAAACCTGGTTGCAGTAGAAATGCTCATAAGAGGGACTGATACTTAAAGACATATTTCTCCTACACTGTATCCATTGTCACTTAAGGATGCTTGCAAGTGTCACCATTACTACAGTGACTGTAATCGATATATATATATTTTTGTAAATATTACAACCTACAAAATCCATATCATTTCTACTGGTCTTTAGAGAAGTGAGGGAAAAAATCATTTATTATGTCTGTCTGATACGGCCAGTAAGAAATGTAGACAATGTAAATAGATTTCAATTTTTTTTCAACATAACAAGAAGCAGATTCATTTCAAAATAATGGCAAAAACCTTTACCTTTGCAACAATCTAGTCCTAAAGTGACTATTTTGCCTAGTTGAAATATTCCGATTTAAATAAAATGACACCATATTTATACTTAGTTGAGTTGAATTATTTTGAAAAACAATTTTATTAAACATATCAAATGTCATTTAATATAAAACAACCTCTTCTATAAATCATTTTAGACTTGCTTAATATTGTGAACTACCATTATTATTTTTGAGGTTAACATGATTTGCACTAGAGTGATGTAAAAATTGCAATAATAAGATCTCTATTAATTCCAATTATTTGCACAGTTTCAAAACCAAAACATTAATTTAAAAGACTATTCTCATATATTTATAACTATAGTATTTCATAACATTCCACTTAAAAAAACAAGTCTATATAAATATCTTTTGCCCAAGACATAGTTATCATGTCCACTACATGCATTCACAATATCAAAATTGAAGTACAAGATGCTATTTTTATTGTGAAGCCATTTGCCTTATGATATTAGGCATGCATGCACCAGTTGACAAAATTATGGCTTCAATTTGAAGGCATTTGCTCATAGATTTTCATAGCCTGATAATATTTTTATTGTTAAATAACCAGAAGGCAAAGCTTGGATTAAAACAACTAATGTTTACATTACACTGGAAAATGAAAACTCCACTTGACTTCTTTTGTGCAAGGTTTTACATTGAAACACTGGCATGCATAAATATATATGTGATGTAATGTTGATCTGGGAATGACATTTAATCTTTTGCCTTATGCAGTTGTTTTATCATTGCCTCAGGCCGTGAATATAATTCTGAGACTACACATCGAGTGGGAATCAACCAAACACTAGGAACAAACCAAAACATTCTCCATTTGGGATCAACAATCGACAACGTAACAGACCACGATAAGCTTATTAATGGACCGTATAATTTCCAATTGTTCGCTTAAAAAACGTGCGGAATGGATTGCAGAATATATCATTAAGTGTACATATTAGTATTTTCTAAAATTGCTACAAGTTATGGACAATGTAATAAGTTTATAAAATCACCTGCATGTCTACCCTGCCACTCACAGTAAATACTCTCACGCTAGCTAACACGCTCTCATTTTTTTTCGCATCGAAATGTCAGAGGTGAACGGCCCGGCAAGACGGACTCTCCAATGCAACAATATGGTCAAAAAATCTGTTTTATAAAGAAGCTTTATTTGACTTTATAAAGTGTTGCAGTTTAATAACATTGAGGAAAACTGTATTGAAGTTCGATGGACGTTTTCGTTTTCGCCTTATTCGGACGAGTGAAGTCTGATACAGTAACAAACATTAAGCCAACAGCGAACCGTCGGCCTTCAGATCCATGGCCTCCCTGTTAGCTTTTGCTTACTTTCTAAGAACGACCACAGAACTACAGACCAATATACCGGCACAAATTATCTTTCACACTAACGAAGTTGGAATTTTTCTCTAATCAACTAAAATGGATTTGTGAGCTAATCTTCAGCCAATACCGGTCTCAGACAGGAAATATCTAGGCAGACAAGCGAACGAGAAGGAAAATTCAAATGAATGAAAATATAAACATGGCGGGCCAACATCGGCCGTCAGCGCGGAACGAAGCTCAACAGAACACAGCAACTATTCCCCATCGTATTTTAGGCTAAAATTTCACAGAAACCGAAAACATAACGCCAGACGTAACTTTCCAGATTTAAATCGCCCTTGCGATGCAAACTGATTATTATTTAAGTTTATGTGTCGGAAGGCCGCCAACAATTCAACGCTTTCGCACCCAGCGAA